TCATTCAGACGAACTTCCATGAGGTTCCTGTCACCAGCGATGCTGTTTTACTCTTGCCAGAGATCCATCGAGCATTTTTGGAGTGTTGGGTGCCATTTAAACACACAGAAGAAAAGGATTTCTCAGAAATGAAGTATGTTTCTAAGGTGGTGTTTAAATTTTTTTAATGTTTATTTATTTTTGAGAGGGGAGCACAGGGAGAGGGAGGCACAGAATCCGAAGCAGGCTCCAGGCTCTGAGCTGTCAGCACAGAGCCTGACGCGGGGCTTGAACTCACGAACCACGCGATCATGACCTGAGCTGAAGTCTGACGCCTAACCGACTGAGCCACCCAGGTACTTTAAGGGGGCGTTTAAACACAAGTGAAGAATTGAGACATTTGTCCGAATAAACTTGGCTACGTCGTGATTTCCCCTGTGATATGCAGACTGAAGCAGCTGCTGATTTGCTAAGTGAATTATTTGGATTCTCCGATTCATTTGTGAGAGCACTGGGCTGTCTTCAGCTCTGATTGACAGCCGGTTTAGGGACTAGAGGGTGGTGATCCCATGCTTCCACTCTCCGTTTACTCTCTTGACCGGACAGAAAGCTTTAAATGTTCCTGATGATTTCCACTGAGCTGTTGAGTCACACTTGGTTATAACTGTCCTAAATTTGTCTAGGCCCAGGGGAATCTGTGCCCAACACAAGGCCGTGTCTCAATCCATTCTGGGACTGCAGAACCAGCCCTTGGCCAAATTGTGAAAGGTGGAGAAAGATGGGTTTTGTCTTCACTGTCTTCTCCCATCTGACTTTTAGCTGTATCTCTTACAGACTCTAATACACATGTACACACACAGACACACACACACACACACACACACACACACACATCACCCCTCCCCAAACTACTGGTCTTATTAAGTTTCCCTGGTAGCCTAAAGGGGACAATAGCTTCTGCTATTAAAGGGATCTTTGACCCGACGAAAGCACTCATTCTCTCTAGAATTGGCCCACTTTACTCACATATCTGAATGGAACCTCAGGATCCCTAGGTTTCCCCCAAGCCGTAAAATGGATGACATAATTCATCTGAAAGGAGGACCTGGAGAACAGGTGTTAGATTGTAATTTGCCTGCATGCAGGGCTGCATCGATATCATATTACACAGGATACAGTATTCGGGTCACCTGTGATCCACAGCTGGAGGGGGTGAGACGCTTGTCAAAGTACTCTGCAACGTTACCATGGTAGTTAGCCTTGAAGGGCCCTAACCAAAAGACTGTACTGCAGAAATACATATGGTAAAACCTTTTCTCCTTTTAAATTTTTGAATGTTTATTTATTTTTGAGAGAGAGAGAGAGAGAGAGCACGAGCAGGGGAGGGGCGCAGAGAGAGGGAGACACAGAATCGGAAGCAGACTCCAGGCTCTGAGCCATCAGCACAGAGCCCGACGTGGAGCTCAAACACAAAAACTGCGAGATCATGACCTGAGCCAAAGTCGGATGCTCAACCGACTGAGCCACCCAGGCGCCCCTCTATGGCAAAAACTTTTGAATATTGCTATCTCAAACCACACCAGAAGGTTTTCCTTAGTATAAAGGATGAACTCGTCTTTGCATCAGTAAAATGGAATTATCAAACATTTATAGGTACAAAACTCTGGCAGGCCCAGTGAACTAAATGTGGAGTAGAATCTCGGATTACAACTATATTTGGTTCTGATTTTCCTCACTTGAGGGAATATTCCATTGGCTGATCCAGTTAGATCCGTGGTTCTCCACCAGGATGATTTTAGCCCCCATGGGACATTGGGCAACATCTAGACACATTTTCAGTCTTTGTAACCAGGAAGGTGGTGCATCGATGTCTAGTGAGCAGAGGCTAGGACACGGCTGACATCCTACAATGCACGGAACAGCCCCCAGCAAAGAATATCTAGCTTAAAATGTCAGTAGTGCCCAGGTGAGAGATCGTGAGCTGGACGATTCTGTTCCTGGCCTTCAAATTATTTGGTTGCACGTTCCTAGAATGAACCTTTAATCTAAGATGCTCGTTGGAGAGCAACTTCACAGAGCAGACACTTCACTACATTTACAAAACAAGTTAGATGACCTTTGTGGGGCTTGATGGATGACAAATATGTTAATGTGTGACAGAATTTAGAATCTTGTTTCATTGTAACATTTGAAGTAAAGGCATATAGGTCCCGAGCACTTCTCCCACCCACATGCTCCAGATATAACCGAAGAACTTGACATTGGTGGATGGCCAGATCGGCCCAGGCCACTTCACAGAAGGAAATGAGCCGGTTGGGGGAAGGGGAAAGGACCAGGGATGGGAGAAGCCGGGGGGAAGCACGAGACATTTTCAGATGTTCAAACTACTCTGCCTCCTTCCCACTAAGACCAAGGAACCAAGCACCCAGATACAGAGAATTTCCTGCCTTCTCACCTTGACCGTCTAAATCCCATCCTGCCCAGAGGTGATGAAATGTGCATTTCTCTCGCCTGTCACGAATGCCTATTTTTTCCATCACCACCCCAAAACCTCAGAAGAATAAGATATCTTCCAACCCTCCTGGAATGATTGAAAACTTCAGGCTCAAAGAAAAGCTAAATGCCGTGTCCAGTCCATGAGGTACTCAATTCTTAACCGATAGAAATGACCATCAATCATCAATGGAGATGCACCTATATAGTAGGTGTGCTACTGGATGTGAGAACCTACAGAGAAATATCAAAATATTTGACCCTCACTCTGGTACCTTCTTACCGTCGTTTTGACGAGGTTATTTTTAAATGTTTATTTATTTATTTATTTTTGAGAGACAGCCATAGAGAGAGTGTGAGTGGGTAAGGGGAGAGAGAGAGGGAGGCAGGATCCCAAGCAGGCTCCCCTCTGTCAACACAGAGCCCAGTGTAGGGCTCAAACCCACCAAAGGTGAGATCGTGACCTGAGCCGAAATAAAGAGTAGGACGCTTAACCTCCTGCGCCACCCAGGTGCCCCGCGGAGCTCCCTTCTGAGGTGAGACACTGGAAGGTTGTGGAGGGAACGACCTCCAGGCCTAGCTGGAAAGGCAGTGTGGGTTCGTAGGCTGCCAAGCCCATAGGGAAGCTGTTTATTTTCAATTTGGTTTTTGGAGATAGAAGTCTAGGCTGGTGGCTGGATAGGGTCTCATCTGGTCTGAAAACTAAAAGGTAACATCTGCACGCATTCAACTCTAAAATATGTTCTGACCCATGATCCCACTTTATTACTCTGCACCCCGGGATGTGTTAAAGTGGGGTGAGAGGAGGTGGTCCACTATTACTTCCGTTTGACAAATGAGGAAACTAAGACCCAGAGCTTACGTGACTTTACTAAAATTGCACGGCTGGTTAGATGTGTCTAAGGTATCTGACGTCCAGACCCGTTTTCCATCAGAGCCGCAGTTCCGAGTGCCGTCCAGGGACCAGTAACAGTAATGTCACCTGGGAATGTGCTAGAAGTGCAGATTCTTAGACCCACCTTTGACTTACTGAGTCAGAAACTCGGGCAGTGGTGCCCTCAATCTGTGCTTTGACCAGGTCCCCAGGGACACCGACGCACTCAGACTAGAGAGTCATTCCCAAGAGGTGCTGTTTGCACCTGCTACGTACCCTCCCCACACCTTTCTATTCAAGGGATTCTTCTTAACCCATCATGTTTGTTTACAGAAAGGCCATAAAATGTGTACTTAGGAAGTTGGTACCCTAACTCCTGGACCACTCAGGCTCCCTGATGTATTTTCCTTTATTAAACATCCAGAGCCAGCCCTCTGTGGTGTCTGTGCCAACTGGGGATGGGAATCTCAGCTTTCCTTTGGCTTGACCTATCTTGGAACTTTCTTGCACCAGACAGTTTTATCTCCTTAGGAACTGCAGAAAGAAAGGGCGTCTAAAAATACTTCCTTAAAACTTTCTTGGGGTGCCTAGGTGGCCCACTCAGTTAAGCGTCCAAGATTGGCTCAAGTTATGATCTCGTGGTTTGTGAGTTCGAGCCCCACGTCAAGGGCTGTCTGTGCTGACAGCTTGGAGCCTGGAGCCTGCTTTGGATTCTGTGTCTCCCTCTCTCTCTGCCCCTCCCTGTTCACTCAGCCTGTCTCTCTCCCTCTCGGTGTCTAAAATAAATAAACATTAAAAAAATTTTAACTTTCTTCTACCAGATACTTTCCGTTTATTAATATAGTAATTTTATACATGAACAGTATATAAAATATACTCTAAACTTAAACAGATCTGAGGGAGCTTTGGACAACCCTCCCTCTCCACACACACACACACACACACACACACGCGCGCGCGCACACACACACACAAATTTACATGCAATGTTGGACACACAGAAGGTACTGACTCAATATTTATTGAATTTATTAAAGACCTATTTTTAGAATCAGAGGAGGAAGAAAGCAAATGCCATTAAGTCTGCTGCAAGGAGGAATGTTCCTCTCACCCACGACACTATTGTGTCTGATGTACTATTGTGTATTGAGTACTATGGTGTCTGATGAAAAATAAGTATTTGATTTTAATATAAATGACATACAAGTATCACCGTATCTATTTTATCTGCAGTAGGAGTGAGAGTTTCTATAACTTAGCTCTTCATTCATTAGTATTTCATTCATTCGTATTTATTGAGTCCTCATGATGTGCCAGCCAGGTGTGCCCCCAGGCATTGGAGCTAACATGATAAATGAGGGCCTGCCCACATGGAGCTTACAGTCTACGGGAAAGACAGCCAATTAAATAAGTGATTCGCACTGAAGTGTCGTGGATGCTGTCCCAGGACACGCTAGATCCCTTCGGAGCACACGGTAGGGTCACAGAACCATGTGGCAATCAGGGGCAGAAGAACCATTATGGCCACACCGGAGGCTGGAGGCCTATTCAAAGCAAGGCTGCTAAAAATTGCCCCAAACTGTGCTGAGGCCCAGAAAGGAAGGTCTGAAGTAGCAAAGGTACTTCTGTGATCTGGCTGCTGTCAGCAGGCGTGTCACTGCCTTGGCTTCTGAGACAGGATGTTGATGATGGTGAAGGTCAAGAAGAGCACGCCGGCTGTGCCTCCGATCATCAGGCCCAGGAGGCTGCCGTGCACCTGCATGGCCTGACAGCGGTCCCCCGTGTAGAAGAAGGCTTGGCTGGAGACGCACCTAGGGGAACAGGACACAGGAGGAGTGTGGGAGCCACCCGAGCCTCCGGCGGAGGGGCTCCGCGTGCCTGGCCCCGTTCCAGGCTTTGCATGAGTCGATACAACCTTGTAACAGCCCTAGGAGGTGGTAGTTATTCCCAGACCCTTCTTATTATCCTTATTATTATCCTTATTATCCTTATTCTTTTTTTTTTTTTAATTTTTTTTTTCAACGTTTATTTATTTTTGGGACAGAGAAAGACAGAGCATGAACGGGGGAGGGGCAGAGAGAGAGGGAGACACAGAATCAGAAACAGGCTCCAGGCTCTGAGCCATCAGCCCAGAGCCTGACGCGGGGCTCGAACTCACGGACCGCAAGATCGTGACCTGGCTGAAGTCGGACGCTTAACCGACTGCGCCACCCAGGCGCCCCTATCCTTATTCTTATTATCCTGTCCTTGCAGGAAAGGTTAAATCACTTGCTCAAGGTCACATGGTTAGTGTTTCACACTTAAAAGCCTAATTTCCGGAGGTCCGTCTCCAGACCGGGGACTCTTGGCCACCACGTGTAAGGCTTAGGAGGAAGGTTTGGGGTACTTGAAGAATACACTGTCCACACTGGCTCGGACTATAAGCTACAGGGGAAATTCTCCAGAAAGAGTCTGGCTCAGTGCATTGGTGGGAGCCCAAGATCTTCCAACAATATCAATTTGAATGTTGCTGAAACGTGAGCATCCTGTCACCTATATCCCAGGCTGCCCTGAAATATGCCAGATCGTGAGCACGCTGTGCTTATTGTCATGTTTGGTACGCAGTAGGCACACAATGGCCACCCCCTGGGTTTGCTGGTTTGTTTTTTAATGTCATTTGGTACAGAGATCAACTAACCTCAGAAGCAGGGCATTGAGGGGGATGTTTCATCCTTTCCATGGCAGCCATTCTAGCCTTTGTTTCAAACAATCTCCTCACCACAAAGTCTAATCACAGAGTGGAATGTGACAATCAGAAGTCACAGACTGCTCTTACTAATGCCGGAACTATTTTATCTTCCTCCAAACTAGACGTTGGCTTCTTACAAATCAGTGCATAACAGCAAGTTCATGCAATCTTTTTTCTGGCCCAGTCCCCTCCAAATACAGTTTAATTAATTCCCTCGCATTACCTTAGAGGAGCTTATACCACAAGCTGTAGGTTTGTGGAAAAGGAATCATTGGGTTTAGCAGAGGGTGACACACAAGTGGAAACCACTGGCTTTCCTTACTCTGAGGAGGAAGCCAGTTGGGAAATATGGAAATCTGGCATCCAAGGACCTATCAGCTAAGCAGTGCAGACCCATGGCTGTGGAGCCCTCTACAAGGAGGACATTCTCCAATAAAAGGAACCAGGGCTCTTTGGAAAAGCGGTTCGTTCCAGGGCTGGGACAGGGAGAGTAAAAGATAAGCCTGGAGTATCCTGTGGTGCCAGAAGGTAAAATTGTGCTCATGGAAAAATGAGTGTGTGCAAAAAGGACACAGGAGCCAGTCTGGAAGGACTCCCAAAGGCCAAGGCTGGGACAATATGAGCAATATAAGAAATACTGGCATTATGGAACTATAGCCCATAGAATAAAATCAACATTTGTGTGTCCCTAGCGATAGAAATAAGTAATTGCATGAATAAATGAATGGTGAGGAGTGGACAGTTATTCTTTACAGAAGAATGTCACTTAATGAATGCAGAGGGATTGGGGGGAATGGGAAATCACTGTTGGAATATTACAGAGGTATTGTTGCTGCAGGTTCACTGATGGGCACTGACATCAGCGGATGAGGAATTGAGGAAAAGCAGGATGCTGCATGATCTCTGAATGTCTCTCCCAAGACATATATTAGCAACAGAGTAAGGAACGGACACCCCTTGGCCACATAATCAAGGTTAGAAGCACCAGTCATAACGCCCACTGGCATCAGGTGTCCCGACTCTTGCCAAAAATGTACAACCTCAACCTATTCATGACAAAACATTAGATACCTGCAAATTGAGGAACAATTTACAAAATAGTTGACCAGTACTCTTCAAAGTTGTCAAAGTAGTGAAAGGGAAGGAAAGACCGGGGGATTGTCCTAGACTGAAGGAGGCTTAAGGACACGTGAAACTAAATATGTTGTGGGGCCCTATGCCGGATCCTGGAACAAAAAAGGACATTGGTGAAAAGACTGGGAGATCTGAATAAGGTCTGTAGTTTGGTGTAATGCTATTGTTAACACTATTTTGTTGCATTAATGTTCATTTCTTGGCTTTGTAGATTGTACTGTGGTTAGGTAAGATGTGAACATTAGGGAATGGGGAGCTCTGCAGTATTTTCGCAATGTACCTGTAAATCTAAAATTATTTCAAACTAAGAGTTTACAGAAGAAGAAACAAAGTGGAGATTGAAAAGAACTCCGAAGAAACGTAGGTATTTTGAGCCGAGCAGACTGGTCGCTACCTCTGCTACTATCCCGCCAGATGAAATCGATGCTTCTGTCCTCACGTATATCCTCTCATGAAATATTTTATGCAAACAACAAACATTATAAAAAGGACAATTAAATACAGCGAACCGTGCTGACAGACAGACCTGGATGCAAGTCTCAGCTTCAGTATTTGATGTCTGGGTAATTTTAGACAAATTATTTAACCTCTCTAAACTTCAGCTCCCTTAAGCACCAAATGGGGATAAGGGGGGTCCTTATGTCACAGGGTGGATGTGACGAATAATTTAGAGTACGCATGTTTACTACTCAGGAGACCCCAAGACCCAGAGCAAGCAGTCAAAAAATATCAGATGTCCTTATTACTATTATTAAAAACATAGCTATAAAAATAGTACAACAGAACAGACAACAGAAATCATAATTAACAACATTGGCAGTCAGTAAACATAAGCTTGGCCCTAAGTCCCACTGAGGCAGGTCATGGAGTAGAAAGTCCCTGGAAGTTTTGTGAGCGCTGCAGTGGAGTTCAAAATCACAACATTCAAGACCCTGTTGATCACATCCCAGAGCGGGGGAAGGGATAAACGTCAAGAGATAGGAGATGTGGGACCCCTTTGCCGTGGCAGGACCCCTTTTGTGCCCCGACAGCACAGGCCCACTGATTCAGAGCACAGCTTTGTGGAGTCAGGGACTGACACGTCCAGTTGACCATCTGATGTAGTCATTGTCCTAACCTTTTACCGGGGGGAAACAAATGTTGGGCTCACCTCTGCTGACCCACCGCCTGCCCGCCCCCCCCCCCAACATGGCCAGGGAGCCTACCTGCAGCTCGCCATCCCCTTCACGTTCACACAGATGCCTTCATTTTGGCAAGGGTTCGGGTCACATGGGTCTCTGAAGTACTGGGGCCAATTGTGGTCTTCCAAGGGGCCTGTGTTCTCCACTGACCGCTTTGGTCGCCTGGGCTGCCCCTGGTCCAGGTTGCTGGGTAGGGCTTTCTCTAACAAGCCCTTTCCTGTGCCTTCTTCTGAGGTCTGCTGCTCCCGGCCCTGGAGAACGAGGCCTTGGGGAATCAGCCTTGTGTCTTCAATTTGAACTTCAGTCTGGAGAAGGTGGGTTATATCTTGAGGAATTAGACAAAGGGCGGTGAGGAACATCTATACTTAATATCTGACTACAATTAACTTCCACTTCTGGAGAAAGTTCCCTGGGCCACCCCTATCCCTCGTGGACATCACCTTCAGTGCCATGGAAAGGTGGCTTTGAATCCGGCTGATTCGCATGCTAGCTGTTTTTCTTTTCAAACTAATGCAATCACATTTTTATTTATCCAGCTTGAAAAAGAAGCACCAAGCTAGCATAGATACACTGACCCAAACTAAACTGAAGTCAACAAACAGTCATATTTGATAAATTATCAAAAAAAGATGACACTGAAGTTTTAGTTTCTCCCAAGGACTGTTAAAATAAACATGAGAGTCCTTGAGCAATAGCTCTCCTAGAGCACATCTTTTTTTTTTTTTTTTTAACCTGGTCCTCAAAACAATCCCTATCCCGCATGAGACGCTTAAAAATCGGTGTAAAGTCAGTAGAAGCCCCAGAACATAGGTTTAGTTATTCAGGAAAATCAGGAAAAGTACCTTCAAAGTCCACAAAAAGTATAAGGTCGTCATTTTTAAGGAAACTCTTCCTTTTTAGCATTTCGTGGGAGAGAAAATTACTCCAGCCCCAGTCGATGCTTCTAAAACAATCACAGTCCTTATGATAGGATCCCACAATCGACGGCCTGTCCCAGATGACGGAGTCATTTATGGCTGCAAAGTTATAGGTAACATAACATCACATTACCTCTTTATACTTCACTCTCCAACTTGTCTTTAATGAGTATATAGGCTTTCTTAGAAAAAAAAAAAAACAAGTTGGAAAAAATCAGATTATTTATGCTTTCCAGGAGAATCAAAACTCAGAATTGGGAAGGGGGCGGGGCAGAGAACCAGAGCTCTGAATGGTCATTTGTCCATTACTAGGTCACTTCCTCAGTGAAGAGGGAAAGACAGGATGGCGATAGCCTCTTCCTTTTAAGGCTTAAGGTTCTTCATTTGAAAATTAAAAAGTCTGTGCATTTCTTTATTGATACAAGCTTGTTTCATTGACATGCTGACGATCACTAATATTTTAGGAGTCAGTGCATTAGTTCAGCACAGAGACTAGGAAATTCTGAGTATTTGATAAATGATTAGCAGTTTCTGTCCTCTCATTTAGACTGAGTTAGACGAAGCAGGAACTGCCTGATTTGCTTCTATGCTGGGTACAGGGCACTGAGTTTGGCCCAGTGCAAGTCCTTAGTAAATGCTTGAAGAGTAAATTCTGAAAAGAGAAGGGAGATGCAATGACATTGAAAATTTTCAGCTGACTATTCCCACATGACTATGCTGTTGAAATGTGAGAGGAGGTGTTAACCTCTTGTACACAGATGGGAACCACATCTGTTGGCCCTTTTGGGTCGAGTGGCAGATCTTAGAGCACCTACCTGAAGATGTCTGGGACTTAGAGGTAGTGAACACCATGCTTGAGGACATTCTATTCCTGGCATCGGGTTCCTGGTCGAGTATTGTCATTATCACCTGTCTGTTTTCCACTGGCCACTCCAGGATAGCATCATTCTCCCCACTGCACAGGTGAAACGCAACTCCTAAGTAGCCAGATGGACTGTAGCTTGCTCTGCCATGAGGGTACAAAGTCAACCCAAAACCATATCCCTCTGAATTGTAGAATCGAGGACTCAGGAGCTTGTCTCCTTTAACTGTGCTCTGAAGGACCTGCGAGAAATTCCGTACTGTCCAAACGCCTGTGGGGCATGGGGTTTCCGTCAGGGTGATATCATCTAGGTAAATTCCCCCATTTGAGTTCTGGGGGTCACCTTTGGAGCCCTGGAAAAGGTAGCGAAACTTCGTTTCTTCTCTAAGTGTCACATGGGCAATTTTCCAATTTTGGTCCAAATCTCCTAAGGACAGAGAATAAGGTTGGTGACAACTGTGGCCAACATTTATTGAGCACGGACTATGAATCTGGTACCAGGCCAAGAGATTTATATGAATTATCTAATGTAATCCTCATAGCATCCCTATGAGGTAGATACTGTTATAAACTGGTTAAGGAACTTCTCCAAAGTCACATACCTACTGAAGGAAAATAACTATAAAAAGATACACTATAATTTATTTTCACATGCATATTCAAATCTTTTTTAAAGTTTATTTATTTTTGAGAGAAAGAGAGAGAGAGAGTGCAAAGGCAGAGAGAGAGGGAGAGAGACAGAATTCCAGGCAGGCTCCACACTGTCAGCACAGAGCCCGACACAGGGCTTGAACCCACAAACAGTGAGATCATGACCTGAGCCAAAGTCAGATGCTTAACCAGCTGAGCCACCCAGACACCCCTCATATTCAAATCTTAACCAGAATTTGTTTTCCATTATTATTAAATTCCATAGGTTCTGTGTTTCCCCATGGGTTTCATGGTATAAATGCACCCCAACCCCTAATGTTTGCACTGAATACCTAAATATTAGTCCGAACCATATAAAACAATCATTTTGTAAACTCAAAGTCAAATAATGGCAACTTCATATGGTCCAACCTAAGACTTGATGCTAGAGAGATATATGACAGACTCTACATTAAATGTTCATATACAGGACAAGCTGGATCTCCCCTATGCAGAACCGACTCTCCCACTAACACCTAATTTTTTCTGTTTTCCATATTATCTGAAATTCCACCAAGTAGGGGATCCATCCTCTTTCAGGAAGCAAATAATACAATCAGGGTTGCTACTATCCAGATATTCACATTCTAGTGAAAACTAGGTCTATTTGCTTTTTTCCTGAGACTGAATGGGAAGTAATAATTCTGAATAAAGAACTGAGTAAGAAGTGAGGTCATTCTAGAACATGGGGTCCTGGGCTGGACAGCGTAAGAAACCAGAAAGGATCTTGAGGGTCTAGGACCTCTTGCAAAAGTGTATTTCAGCCTCACTTAAATTTTTGATGCTATTTCTGACTTCTGAGTGGTTAAAATATTCACTGAGGGGTTAAAACATACCAGACATTATGCTGGGCTCTTAGAAGAGCAGGAGTGGGGGGGGGGGGATGCAGGAAAAGGGAGGAAGAAGAAGGAAAGGAGAAAGAAGAGGAGAAGGAACAAAGCGGGGGTGGGGGGAAGGGAGCAACAGAAGGGAAAGGGAAAGGGGAAGAAGGAACAGGATCCCAGATTTAAGCCAAATCAGCCCCTGCATGAATGTCTCTAGGTACCTTGGAAGGTCTGCACCTTGACCAGCTTGCGAACGTCGCCCGTGCTGTCATCCCTCTTGACCCAGATGACGAGTCGATCTGAAGGGCTTCCTGTCATTTTATAGAAAAATTGCAGGCACTGCTGCTTCCTCTTTGGGTAAAGAATCCGTGACTCCAGCAGGGCTGCCTCTTCCGCCACCCCCAATCTGGTGCTGAAGTGCATGAAGTAGCCGGCACCTGTGGCGAGAGCACCCCAGTGACCCATCTCCAGCTGCCCACACCCCAGGGGGCCCTGGATGCCAGCCAAGTGAAATAGTGAACAACGGCCATTATCCAGGCAACACAAGCTAGAACTCTACTGGGGAAAATGAACAAAGATGGCTTGTCAGTAAGTCTCCTTTGTGTCTCCATGAACTGACTCCCCAGCTAAAACCCCAGCGCCCCAGTGCCTCTTCTGATGCCTTTGTCCCCAAGCTTGTGAAATGTATACTTCTGACTTAAGGAGACATTGGCTTCAAGCAAATTCATCTCTGAGATGAATTCTATCTTCCTCATTGGCTTTCTTGTTTGAATTAGAGATTCATTCCAAGGAAAAGAGCTGACTTCCTGGTTGTATAACAAACTGTGCGCTCCCCATATTTGGAAACTGGAATTTAAATATTTATGATAATAAAGATTCAGTCTCACCTGTTTCTAGCCTGCAATTGGATGTGTCATTGATGGTAAAGAATCACACTTACTGTGCCTTAAGAAGGGGCATTCGAGGCATATTAAGGGGACTAGTTGAAGATTTCTCCTGCCTGTAAGGAAAGCTTCGAAAGAACACTGAAAAGGAGGGTGCAAAATGTCTGTATTTGTAACCAGGCTGGGGTTTGTCCAGCTCCTAAACCTCAGAACTCTCTCCCCCAAAAGAAGCAGGCAGCTCAAGGAATATGTCATATGGAAAATCAGCACATCAAAGTCAACCACAAAGAACAATTCTTGCATAAAAAGAAGTCCTTCAAGCTGTACCACAGCGTTCAACTTCTTACCAAACATCCCACTCAAAATATCTCACAAAGTACAAACGAAGTGAGCTTCTAGTACAGTTCTAGGTACTTTGGCAATACGACTCTCCGCTTCATCCAGCGTCATACATGGGGCACTGTACCTTCCCCAATGGCTGCAAGCATCAGTGGTTAAATAAGCTTTCTACAAAGCTTAACAATATCATAATGGCTTTAATGTTATATCGGGAAACATGATATTTTCTTGCATGTTCTTCTGAGTACTTGAACTTACTAGCCTGAATTGTCTGCATTGTGAATTACTGAGTGCTTGGGTCAAATACAAGAGGTCACATGGCTAAGAGGGTCTCCAGTTGGTCCTTGCTGAGGAATTTCACCCAGGTGCACTGAGGGGTAGGAAATGAAAGTCCAATAACTCAGACTTGGGAATCGGGGCACCTGAATTCTTGCCCATGCTCTGCCACTAACTAGAAGGTGCCCATTCATCTCTCCTGGTTTCAGATGGGAGGTGGCTTCTATCCCAAGGGATCCTTTGTGCTCTTTAAGTCTATACATCTACCTTACCACCACCGGTGCCCTCTAGCAGAGGGAATACACTCCCATTAAATGTCCCCCGTGGAAGATGCATAATGGCTTGTCAAGCTAACCTGATAAAACTTTTTAGATATTTCTTCTTTCCTTTCCTATTAAGGTGCTGGGACATTGTTCCTGTTAGGGTACTGGGACCTCTCACATGAAGGTCACCCTTCTGTTTAGCCTGAAACTGTACATTGGCCTGTCAGCCAGCCCACGGGAGAGAGTGGGTGGGAAGCTCTGATGGGAATTTAGAGGGAACTTCAGACTTAGATGACCCTTTGGACACTTGAGATTATGTGTTTAGTAATATGATGTGTGACAGAGACTTTCACCCTTTGCTGAGGCTGGAGGGAGAGTGGCAATTGTTTACAACCTCTGAGCCCAGTGGCCTGGCAACTGGGTGACAAGTCGGGTCCCTTCTGTGAAGGAAATATAACCAACTCCCACAGGCAGTAACAGTCTAGTCTTTAGAAACTGACTATAATCTATAGGGTTGAGATTTTTTTCTAAGACAGGCACTAAATAAAAGGCTGCTAAAGTAGAAATAAAAAAATGAATGGAACCTCTGGACAGAAAGGGAAGATAGAAAAAAAGTAGAGAGGGCAGCTGCTGGTCTGCAGCCAGAGGATTTGTATGCATTATTTCCTTCCATCTTCATGTTTAAGTGTCAAAATCCTGGAATGCTCAGAGAGTCTGACAAAAGCGAAGACTTAAAAAAAAAAAAAGGCACCAACAAAAACAACTTTCTGTGGTTACAATTAGCAAGTGGTGGGGCCAGATTTCCTGTCCAGGTCCATCTGCCTTTATGAATTTTTCACTGTACAAAACACACCTAGGAACGATCTGAAGCTGTGCCATCCAATATGGCGGCTACCAAACGTGGTAATTGAGCACTTGAATTGTGACCAATCCGGACTGAGATGTGCTACAAGGGTAAAATACACACCAGATTTCAAATACCTAGTACAAAAGTGTGGAGTAGCTTATTAATAACTTTAATATTGATAGTATGTCAAAATGCCAATATTTTGAATATATTGGGTTCAATAAAATGTGTAGCTAGAGACAATTTCTCTTGTTTCTTTTTTATGTAGCTACTAGAAAATTTCACATTATGTATGTGACTTGTATTATACTTCAATTGGAGGGCACTGTTCTAGAGACATGACCTTTATTTACAAAATCATGTATTAGCAACCACATGTCTGTATTAGTTTTGTCATGACCTAAGTGCATCTTTCTGTTGCACGCCCAGAACCTGCATGCTTTTTGTTGAGCTAATAATTAAGATACGAGAAATGTTCTTTGTGCTTGTTCAGATTTCCATGTTGGATAGCTAACATTGCAATTGAGACAAAACATGTAAGCTGCCATTCCCTGACTGAACCTGGTGAACCACTGCAGAGTTCCTACTTTCTGCCTTCACTCACCGGTGCATTGTCCCACCAAGGTGTGGTCCACTTGTCCAGGCTGCGAACTGTCCTCATGGACCCAGTCAGCATCATCTCTGGTCCCCTGAATCATCCCACAGATGTTTGCCTTCTCAAAAGCACAGTGGTCCAAAAGGGTGTGAGTTGTGGCTGCAAATGATATTTTTGTCACCTGGTTTAAAGTTTAAGTCCTCTTATTTCAAATACCTGATGTCTTGTGCTAAAAAGACCTCATTGTTCAGATACAGCACACTTTCTTGACTTTTCTCAAATGCAAATTCTGCTGTCCTCTATTACATCTTAGGACATCCAACATAGATGCAGCCCTACCCACCTCACAGAGTCAAATGATAAAAAGACCTGTCATCATGCTTTGCTATAAATGCCAACCAAGAACTCCTTTAGATCAAGAAGGAGGTACCTCGTAGATCTTTGTATGTAGTAAGTCTTCTGTACATACATATTGGACAGAATTAAAGAATATGTCTCTCAAGACTAGTAGAGTCATTTTAGAAAACATCCCATCTCTGAGCAGTAGATTGCTCTAGAACAACTACTCTGGGTAAAGAATTTTGCAGGATAAAAAATACTTCCAAGCTTGTCCCCTATCTTGAGATTTACAGAATGATGCACCATTCAAAAGGATGCTAAAGAAGCTGGACAATTACAGCTTCTTACATCATTGGTCCAATACTTTTACTTTGCAAAACACAACCACGTAATTGATTTTCATAACCATCCTGTGAGGCAGGTGTTACCATTTTTTCTAATCTATCGATAAGTTAAGTTTATGTGGCTTGTCCACTGTCCTTCACTAGAACAGGAAAGAATAGTGAAGGGAAATATAGGGGAAACTGGGGGAGCAGAGGAAGCTCTGTTGAGGTTCAATTACCTACTTCTCAGACCCAGCAGTACTCACTGCAATTATACATTCGGTTCAGCCTCTCCAAATCAGTGGCACTGAAGTCCAGGCGCTGCCCAATGATGGTGTTAAACTCAGGGATCTTGGCCGTGATGGTAGGAGCGCTTTCATTCTTGTTAAATGAGAAAGGCTCGTAGTGCATCAAAGACTCATAGTCATAGGGCGTGTTGAGGTCTGTGATGAAGCTGTCATCATAGGTGTTAAAGTTGTGCTCAAAACCTATCAGAGAGAGCATCGACGGGTCCTTTTTAGTTATATCGTTTCCCCTGTCGTGCCCCCTTTGACTAGATACTTAAGCAGAGACCACAAAGAAAAAATGAACATTTGATTTAAATATACAAATATATATATACTTAACATATTTTATACTAGAATAATGTACATAATATCAATACATATTATTAATTAATAGCAACAAATAATTTTTTTAAGTAGGCTTCATGCCCAGAGTGGAGCCCAACACAGGCCTGAATATCACGACCCTAAGATCAAGACCTGAGTTGAGATCTTGCTTAGGAATCTCTCTTCTTCTTTCTCTGCCCCCTGCCCCCCCCCCCCCCCCGTGCTCTGTCTCACTCTGTCTCTCAAAAATAAATAAATGTTAAAAAAAAAAAAAGTCAGACACTTAACTGACTGAGCCACCCAGGTGCCCCTAACAAATCATATTTTAATTACATTAATTTATTATATAATAGTATGTCCACTTATAAAAATTAAAAGTATATTTAAAAATAAATATAAAAACACATGTTATAATTAATTTATAAATCTGCATACAATTTATTAAATATTTGTATACATTTACATCAAAGATTCATTTCACAAATAAATGAATAAATAAATGTGTGTGTGTGTGTATACGTATAAGCTTTTAAGAAAGAGAAGATAAAACATTAAAGTAGAGGCAGGTGTTCCAAAAGTCAGGAAAAGGAAATTTGTGAATTCAGAAAAATATTCAGGATTGATACATCTTGCTAATAAGCAAGTACCTCATCCACCAAAAGCTGTACCAATTCCGTAGGTTAGAAAGTCAATTCAAGGGGCAGAAGGAAAGGTCAGTACTGCCAAGGAAGGGGCATCCTGTCAATCAAGGCTCACATCCTTTTCCAGAAATGGCCTCATGGACAGAAAAATAAAATAGGAAGCGCAAAATTGACTTTCCATCCAAAATAGAAAAGGAAAATATTTTTATGAGATTAACACAAGTAAGATAATATATATTGCAGAGTGAAATGCTGGAATCAGAAAACCAATCAGATGTTCCTTTAATCCACTAGCCATCAGGAATTTACTGTTTCAGCAGCAATCATGAGAAGTTCACAGATTTTTAATTTCCTTCTTAGGGAGTGGCAGGAAAACTGTATGAGAAGGCTCATAACTCCCCCAGTCGTGACTTCCCGTCTTCATGTATTTCTCCTTTTCTAGTTTCCCATCCAGTTGTTTTTAACTACCTTACGAAGACATCAACGTGGGTGCATTTAGGATTGAAGAAGAGTGCCACAACGTGAAGTGGTCTAGCGAGTGCTGGAGGGAGTCTCTAAATGCTTTTGGAAAAGCCATGAACCCTGCTGATCAAAACTTGATTTTAACTGTAAATGAGAATACCAACGCTTCATCCTCCCAATTCATGGGATTTCATGGAGACTTAACCTGAAAGGGATCAAAGCATTTTCGAAGGTGGCACAGGACTGTAAGAAACAAATGAACCAAACAGAAGGGGAAAGTAACTCCTTCCAGAGCACTTGGCCCTAGGTTGTCCTACCCTAAGGGATAGAACTAGAAAGAACATCCAGCCAGGGTGAGGACTGAGGCTTGGTCTGGGATCTCCTGGTGACTTGTGATGAAACCTTAAGAAAAGCACTCTCAAATTCACCGGATAGGTTTTCCTTAACTTTAACTAAAATCACCGGGTTAGAATAGATCATTTCATTCTTTACTACTCAAGGATTCTTTTCACAATGCTTCACGACATAAATGTTTTGAGTAATTTTTTAAATTTTATTCAACACATTTTTGCTGTGCCTACTATCTATATCTGAGGAGCTATGCTAAGTGGTGGTGGCCCCTGGCAGTGAGTAGGATGGGCCAGGTCCTGCCTTCAGGGAACTCGCAGCTGAGAGCCTCAAAGAGGGAGCCATCTTGTACCCCAGAGAGGCCAGTCAGCAAATCTCTTGTGTAAAGGGTCGGGCGGAAAATATTTTTGACTTTGGGAGCCATATGGTCTCTGTCACAGCTATTCAACTCTGTCATTGTAGCACAAAAGCAGCCATAGGAAATAGGTGAATAAACGGACATGGCTGTGTTGCCATAAAACTTTATTTACAAGAGCAAGTGGATATGACCCACAAGCTGTGGTTTGTGGAATCCTGCTTGACCTCAGAAATTGAGGTCTTTCCTTGGTGGGAGAGAAATGATCCAGAAAACACACTGCTGGCTTAAGAGACGGAGACGGAGACAGAGACGGATTTGGGGAGAGAACTACGTTGCCAGTATACTATCTTCTTAGGTTGAACAATTAGATTGTCATCTACGAAAGATGAGACGCAATGAAAGTTATAAATTACCCTGAGCAGTAATAGTGCCCTCCCTTACTGTCTTATTAATTCGATGTCTCCTTTGAGAACAGTTCTCCAGAGACAGTGAGCAATTTAGATATATGGAATATGAAAATATAGGGAGGAGATAAACAACATGTGTTGAGTAATTCATGTTCAGCCAAGAGCCGAGCCAGTCTGAAAATTACCCTGTCAAATGCGTTGGCTCCCTCTGAGAAAGAGAAATCATTTGGCCTAAAATGGTATTAAAACACTAACCGTTGTGTTCTCCAAGACTGAAAAATGTGAACGTTCTCTGCATCCTTAATGAATGTTCAGCAGAACCAAGTATATGTACAGGGAGGTAAGAAAGTCAAGCCTAGAGGCAAATACAGGCAGTCTACCAGTGCCCTGGACCAATGACCCCCACTCACCTTTCCCTCCTACACAGACCCAGTTCTAACACACTTACATCTAGGAGACAAATGCATTAAATTTGGTCTGTTATTTCATGTCCGGGTGAATACTTGCTAATATATCTCCAGATTGGACTGAAGGGCGAAGAAAAATATTACTTTAGCTTAGTGGTTGGGTGGTAGGATTGGTGGAAGTGTGTGTGGGGGGTTAATCGTGGTTCTGACAAGTCCCTCAAAGTCGAATCATTATAGACGCACTGCCGTATATGAACCCATACGTGAAACTGGTATCTAAATAAAACAGATAATTATAAGACAATTACTTGCTTTGTGAAAACCACGATTGGTAATGGTAAAGGCATTTCAATACGTGAGAGTTTTATTAATCTATTGCTGCCAAAAAAAGATGTTTTCCCACTTCCTGAACTAAGTCCTAATTAAAAACTAGATGTTTTCAGAAACACAGTATTGGCTTTCTTCCCAGCACGTTGGGAAGCTGTTCGATAAAAGAGTGTTTTTCATATACCTAAGAGCACCATTTAGTTGTCTCAAACAACTAGGGAAGGTAATGCCAAGGAAGTCTAAAGAAACTACAGAACAGAACAGAAATTGTTAGAATAACATACCTGCATAACAATAAGTGAAATAAGACTGTATTATCCCTTGCACAATGTGGCTGGGGGCAGGAGGAGAGAGGTATTTAGGAAGAAAGAAGGAGGAGAAGGAAGGGGAGGAGGGGTACAGGAGGAAGAAAGGCCAGTAAATTTTGACGAACTAGAACTCAGATCATCAGCCAGAGTTAACACAATTGGGGAGACAATTTCAGATGAAAGAATTCATTTTTGTTGTTGTTTTGGTTTGGTTTTTTTTTTAATTTTTTTTAATGTTTTACTTATTTTTGAGACAGGGAGAGACAGAGCATGAACAGGGGAGGGTCAGAGAGAGGGAGACACAGAATCTGAAACAGGCTCCAGGCTCCGAGCTGTCAGCACAGAGCCCGACGCGGGGCTCGAACCCACGGACTGCGAGATCATGACCTGAGCCAAAGTCAGCTGCTTAACCGACTGAGCCACCCAGGCGCCCCTGTTTTTGTCTGTTTTTAAACACCTATCATTGATTTGGTAACGCACCAGCTAAGTTCTTGAGTATATATTAGAGTCGTCTTTTGTTCAGCTAAACTTCATGCAGACTCCTAGACCTACATGAGATTTCACACCCAGAAAAATGGCCATGACATCCTCGGAAGCCTAATTCAATTTACAATGACAGGACGATAGCATTCTAGATGGATTTTCAACAAAAACACCAAAACAAAGCAAAAGCTTCTGATGAACTTTCAGTTGGCATTGAGTTAGCCAACACATCACTCCCTAAGGCCCTTCTCTGGGGTCAGTTAGGATCAGATGAGCAACACCCACAGAATAGGCCAACAAATAATACACTTTTCCTCCGCTGTGCTCTAGCTGAAGCTTCTGTCTGCACACCAGTGTGGCTTAGACATCCCAGGGTTGGTCCCAACAAGCGATAAAGGTAAATCCCACCCAACTCCCTTGGGTCTGTACACACCTGGAAGAATTTCATCCCACCAGATGTTCACATAGTCATCCCGGTCAGTTCTTGACTGCTCATGGTAAAATCCCAAAGCGTGGAGAATCTCATGTTCAATGATGGCCTTATAGTCACACCCCTGGCCAATGGAAAGGTTCTGTCCCACGTGTTGATCGCCAACCTCAGACCAGCACCTTTAAAGAAGAGGAGAGGGAGATTTTCTCCTAAAGAACTCTCAAGTGGCTGTAATTCATGGGGTTCCAGAACACAAATTTGAAGGAAGTTAGGTTTGATTTTAAAAAAGGAACTGTCACCAGCATTCTCATAAGCTAATAGTTCAAAATAGGGGACTAGTTAACTGAGCAACATTCCCTGCAGGGAATAACATACAGTCTTTGAAAGTGGTGGTCCAGTGGCCCCTGGGTGGCTCAGTCAGTTAAGCTTCCAACTCCTGATTTCAGCTCAGGTCATGATCTCATGGTTTCTGAGTTCGAGCCCTGCATTGGGCTCCATGTTGACAATGCAGAGCCCGCTTGAGGTTCTCTCTCTGCTTCCCCCCCAACCGTCCCCCAATGGTCCATGCTTGTATGCTTGTTCTCTCTCTCTCTCTCTCTCTCACATTAAATAAATAAAATAAAATAAAAAATAAAAGTGATGGTCGATGATCAGTGTGATACCTACTCAGAGGCAAATCAATCCTAATAATGCACCAGGTAGAAAAAAGTAAAAGTTGGCATTCTTTCTCACCTCCACAAACTCAGAGGACATTCCACAGTATAACACTATTGCCTTTGTACCACAGTATTAAGTTGTCTCTGGGTAGTGGCTGTGGTTGATTTAAATTTTTCTCCTTTGTACTTTAATGAATTTCCAAATTTCCTATAATGAGCAGGTATCAATTTTACAATCGTGAAAAAGAACCTCATTAAAGAGACGAGTCTACTTCTTTGGCTGTCGGCCAACCTGCAGCACTACGAAAGCGCAGGGCTGGCTGCCTTCCAGTTCTACAGACTCGGGGCAAGAAGGACCCATAACTTCTCACAGAAAGCGATAGACTCAGCAACTGCTGGCTGATTCTCTAAATTCATCACGGTGCAGTCTCTTGCCCCTTTTTTTCCCAATTATTTTTTGTCTTTTCTCATAAATCCAACTTTCCGCCTCTAGTAGCAAATCTGAACCTTTCCACGAATTGTCTCCTCTGCTTTAAGTTGTGGAACAGGATCTATACTCTAACCAGTGCTCAACAGAGTAAGAGATCTGCTCATACTTTAAATTTTTTCTTAATGTTCATCCATTTCTGAGAGAGAGAGACAGAGTGTGAGCAGGGGAGGGGCAGAGAGAGGAAAACACAGAATCTGAAGCAGGCTCCAGGCTCTGAGCCGTCAGCGCAGAGCCCTACATGGGGGCTTGAACTCAGGAACCTGTGAGATCAAGAGCTGAGCTGAAGTCTGAAGTCCAACCAACTGAGCCACCCAGGTGCCCCGCCCAACTTTTAAGTGTGACCAATGGATTACAAGTTCTTTGATGACAATCACATTGTCTTACCCACCATTGTTGTCACCAAGATTGTTAACATCATATACCTTCAAATGCTAATGACTTTGGTTTCTACTCAAAGATAGATCTTAATTATCTTCCAACAACTTTTTAAGGTATAATTTACATACCATGAAATCCACCAATTTTAGGAATACAATCAATGCTCTTTTGTAAATGTATTGAGTTATGCAAGCATCACCATGATCATTTTGCATCTCTGACGGTGGCATTTTATTCCAAACTAGAGTTGACTCTGCAAAATACCCACAATCTACAGGAAGTACTTATTTATCTTGTTTTTAAACATCCCTCTCCCAACAGAAATGTGTTAGTTGCAAGAATGCCACAACTCTGCCTGTCTGACTCTTTTACCTTGTCTTTCTAGAAAGAGCCCAGTTAACTCCCCCACCCCCTTCAGGGGACCAGGGCCTTGAAGGTTTTTGGGCCCTTTGGTCCAGTTTTTTCACCATTCTTCCTCCTTTTTCCGTTCCCCTAACTTAAGCCACAGGCAGTAAGAATCTCCCAGACTCAGATTCCACACGAAAGAACATCCCTTAAAACTGACCTTCCCCTTCATCAAGTACTTGGGGATTGAGTTACAAACTGAGAAGAAGTCCAGAGAATTTTACTAGGGGAAAGAGAACTTTTGGAAAGTGATTGTATAAGCTTCATTTTATTTTTAAGAGAAAAAAAAAGAGAAACCGTGGTAGCTACAAATGGAAATAAAAGTGTTAAGAAAATGAACTTTTTTCCCTGAAACCTTCAATAAATAATTAAAGGTTTTGGTACTTAAAAAAAAAAATTTTTTTTTAAATGTTTATTTATTTTTGAGAGAAAGAAAGAGACAGAGTGTGAGTGGGGGAGGGACAGAGAGAGAGGGAGACACAGAATCTGAAGCATGCTCCAGGCTCTGAGCTGTCAGCACAAGAGCCCAACCTCACGAACCCATGAGATCATGACCTGAGCCGAAGTCAGATACTTAACCAACTGAGCCACCCAGCACCCCGGCTTCCGTACTTTCTTGAAGTGCAAAGGTCGCCAAGGGACAAAACGAACATGTCAAAAGCAGAGAAACTCTAAAATCCGTGTTCTTGGCGAGGTCCGAGGTGTACTTTACATGTTTTTCCTTCACAAAAAGAGGAACTGTGGGAACACTGTTGGTTATCTCCACTTACATGACCCACAAGAACCTCAGAGCTTGTCCAGGAACACATTCAGTCTCTTACCCTGAAAGCGGTTCTTCTGGCAATATTCCCAAGCTCAGTGAATGAAGTAACCACCCGGCAGTCACTGAATCAAAAATCTTAGATTCCTCGTTCTTCTTAACCCTTCCCATCAACTAGCCACCAGCTTTCGAGAAGTCCCCCTGTTTTCAGTGTTTTGAAATGCATTCCCTTTCTTCTATTCCAACTGTCTCTTCTTTAGTGTGCGTCCATTTCATTTCTGTCCTGGACGACTGGCACATTCTTTCATTGGTCTCCCGCCACCAGTCTTGCCCCTACTTCGATTCTTTATCCACGGTCGTTAGAGTAATCTTTCCAAAATGGAAAACTGAACATATAATGAATCACGCACAGAAGAGGGCACTCCTGCACGCGTGGTTTGTCTATTACCAGGCTTCCGTTTTATCGCCTGGCTCCACGGCTCATCTCACTGCCCCTTACATGCCCCTTACATGAGTTCTCCGAGTAAGACACATTCGTGTTTATGTTTGCTTTTTTCTTGTCTCTCTTCTCTTCCTCTTCCTCTTCTTTCTTCCCCCCCCTTCTCTCCCGCTCTTCCCATCCCCCATTTTGTACCTCCCTCTCTTCTGCCTCTATGTCCTTCTCCCGTCTTCATTTAACAAGCAGTGTGGCTTTCCCTGATGCTTCACTACATGCTAAGTGAGAGTTCCTGCTTCTTCCCTCTTATGGCCCACGGCACTCCCCTTAGCATATATAATTTTCTCCACCACCCCCAGCTGCCAGCTGTAAACCTTGTGGGATCTAAGACCCTGCAGCATGCTTCTTTGTGTCTAGAGACTAACACACTTCCTGGCACAGAGTAGGTGTGCATAAATTGCAGTTTTAATAAGTGTCCGAGCTAAGGAAAAACCATTCAGGTAAGTAAGGAACTTGTGTCTAAGTGGTCGCCACAACTTTTACTTTTTTCACTGCTATTTTTTTTGCATATTTTTTTTTCTTGAGAGGCTAAATCATATGCTAACTTTCTTCCCCATCTCCTATCCATCCATGATTAACAAAACCACCATCAGAATGAGACAACCAAATCCAGGCAACACCTAGAGGCAGTTTGGGGAACTGCAGCATGAGGAAATGTGTGCTGAAAGGCACAGAGGGGCCGTCACAGCAGATGACAGCTTGGCTTCCCCACTGCATCTAGCCCAGGTTGGTTGACATAAATACCACTGGGAAAGAAGAGCTTGTTTCTTGATATATCATTTATTTCCTAGGAGAAATACAAAGTAAAAACTGTACATAGAACTTTTCTATGTATAGGTCCACCCAGTAGAGTACTATAATTTAAAACAGTACCATAAAAAGAGTATAATTTATACTTTAATACACCTGACCTAAAAAAAAAACAAAAAAAACAAAAAAAACTCCGCAAGTTAAAACATGACCTAAACCCAGGAAAAGAATTGAGATAAATCTCCCTGTTGCCCAGACATAGCCAAACGACTCATTCTTCATCTAGAACATTAAAAATACGATAGTTTCAAAATTCACAGAGCAAGACTTGATTCCGCTTTCCGTTTCTTTCCGGTTTCTTCTTTTGAAAGACATGTGTCGCTTCACACTTTGTAAAATTTCATACTTACCCAGAAAACTTCTGAAATATGATGTATGAGCTCTCTCCTTCATAGGGCTTGAAATCCACACAGGACCTGAGGCGGAACATTTCAAAGGCGTAAAGAATGGCTCCTTTGGCGTTCAGCCCTGCAGAAATCAGTAAAAGTATCAATGAGTGTTACTTAAACCTTAGATAATATATATAACATGGTTCAGAGACAATCTTGCCACCACATGAAATCCACAGAGGTTTATGGGTATATTTTTCAGTAGTTAGTAGATTCTTTGGAAACTACAAGTATAAAACTAGTCCTGTATATAAACATTAAGTGTTGGGGCGCATGGGTGGCCCAGTCAGTTAAGCGTCCAACTTCAGCTCAGGTCATGGTTTCGCGGTTTGTGGGTTCGAGCCCCGCATCCAGCTCTGTGCTGATAGCTCAGAGCCTCGAGCCTGCTAAGGATTCTATGTCTCCCTCTCTGACCCTCCCCCACTTGCGCTCTGTCTCTCTGTCTCAAAAATAAATAAACATTAAAAAAATTGTTTTAAAAACATTAAGTGCAAACTTTAAATATATAATGTAAATATAACTACAAAATAAGAATACACTCCTATGTGTAGCTGAACAAAATTATAAACTGACTTCCTTATTTCCTCCCTTCCCGTTTCCCCATTCAAGCAGAGATCCTGAGTACAATTGCCTCAGGAAAGTCCCGCTGCAGAGCAGAAGACTGCAAGCCATTTGTCTTCTGTGTGAATAAAGTACCTTGTAGAGAAGCAGTGAGAATGGTGCTCACTGCAGTCTAAAAAGATAACCTTCTTGCTGGAGGAAGACAACAGAGTTTTGAGAAGTTTATGGGCTCCAAGAGCATGAGAAGCGCATCTGGTATTTTACCTTGCTTCCCGGCAAGGCTTCTGGAGAGATGACAAGACTAAACAGCGCTGGAAACAGCCTTGGGAAAGATTTCCTTTTTTCTTTTTTTTAAGAAAAAAATTTTTAATATTTATTTTTGGGAGAGAGAGAGAGAGAGAGAGAGAGAGAAAGACAGAGTGCAAGTGGGGGAGGAGAAGAGAGAGAGGGAGACACAGAATCCGAAGCAGGTTCCAGGCTCCAAGCTGTCAGCACAGAGCCTGATGCCGGACTCGAACCGCGGGATCATGACCTGAGCCGAAGTCGGACGTTTAACCAACTGAGCCACGCAGGTGCCCCTGGAAAAGATTTCTATGACCCAAAGTTGGAACCAAAGCAGCAGAAGCCTAATGGACCTGAAAAGGCCAGCACAATAGATGCTTACTGGTAAACTGTAGGTTAGGACCAATGACCAAAGATCAAATGTCTTTCCTGTCCCCTAACAAGCACACATGCTGACATTGCAAAAGATAACCATGGGGTGGGGAGGAAAGATACTCTGGAGCAACAGAGATTATGTTTTACTTAGTGTGTGTCCTTTTTTCTCCCATCAACTCATTGAAGGTAGGGCTCTAAGTTAAAAATTAAGCTATGTTATATCAAGTTACATTATATTTATTGTACATTTGCTTTTGTGCATTCTCTCAAAGAGTTTATAGTTCTTGGCAGTTTACTCTGTACTTACTTTATGGTTTCCTGACCCTATGTCATTTAATAAACTACCAAATTAGAGATTCACAGTTCAGATGTTGTAAGATTAGATCAAGGTCATTAAATAAATAATCAATGGAATAATCAGTAAATTACTTGTGGAAGCAACACAGGTAACAACGACAACATGACAGATTTTCATGAAGTTTTACCTATCCTCTGTGACATCTGTAATATGAATATTTGTACTCAAGACAGCTTAGTTGCCACGAAAGTTGTCACAAACTGGGACAAAATGTTTGCAAAATACATATCTGACAAAAGACTTGCATCCAGAATATGTAAAACACTCCTACAACTCAAAGAAGAAAGACAAATAACTAATCTTTTAAATGGGAAACTACTTAAACAGGTATTTTACAAAGGAAGACATACAAATGAACAATCAGTAAATAAAAAAGAACGTAAAATGACAATAAGTAAACTAAAACCACAATTACATACCACTACATGTCCACCAGTATGGCTAAAATTTAAAAAAATAACAGCAACGAATGTTGGAAAGTGGTGTAAATGAACTTTCATTCCTCATTTGTAGAAGTTTGTAAAAAGGTACGAGCACTTTGAAAGAGATCCAACACTAAACCTATGTCTGTGTTATAACCCAACAATTTCACTTAAAAAAATTTTTTTTTAAGGTTTATTTAGTTTTGAGAGAGAGACAGAGTGCGAGCAGGGAGGGACAGAGAAAGAGGGGGACACAGAATCCAAAGCAGGCTCCAGGCTCCGAGGTCTCAGCACAGAGCGCATCGCAGGGCTCGAACCCCCAAACCATGAGATCGTGACCTGGGCCAAGTCGGATGCTTAACCGACTGAGTCACCCAGGCATCCCTCACTTTTGATACTTACACCAGAGACATGAATATGAACGCATATATTCCAAACAGGCATGTACAAGAATGTTCAGAGTAGCTTTAGTCATCATAGCTCAAACATAGAATCAATGCCCGTTGTCTATAAACAAGAGATTGGTTAAATAAGCTGTGATATACTGTATTCACGCAATGGAATGCCACTCAGTAATAAAAAGGAACAAACTATTGATAAACACAACAACATTGGTGAATCTCAAAGACATTTTACTCGGTAATCAAAAAAAAAAACCCCATAAAATATGATTCCATTCCTATGAAATTCTAGAACAGACAAAAACAACAACAACAAAAAAGGAGTTGTTTCTGGAAGGGTGAGAAGGACTATAAATAGCATGAGAGAACCTTCTGGGATAATAAAAATGCTCTTTTTTTTTTTAAGTTTATTTATTTGTTTTGAGAGCGAGAAAGAGAAAGAGAGTGAGGGAGGAGCAGAGAGAGAGGGACAGAGAGAATCCCAAGTAGACTTCATGCTGCCAGTGCAGAGCCTGACACAGGGTTCAATCCTATGAACCAGGAGGTCATGACCTGAGCCAAAGCCAACAGTCGGAGGCTTAACCCACTGAGCCACCTAGGCACCCGATAAAAGTGCTCTTAATAGGAGTTGTATGAATATGTTTACATTGTAGAAGTGTAATATATAAAACCCACTGAACTGTTCAGTTAAGACTCATGCATTTTACTCTCTGTACATCTTACATTAAAAAGAACTATAAATAGGGGCGCCTGGGTGGCGCAGTCGGTTAAG